TAGCTGTCACGGGTGGGACATGCTTGACTGTTGAATTATTCTTATCAAACTATTTGGAAATGAAAATGCAATTGTGGTAAACATTGACGATGAAGTTCTAACATTATGTAACAAACCCGAAACACAACTTCAACTTCTGTAATAATAAAATAATAACAACTTTTACCTTTTTTTGTCACGGGTGGGACAAGACCAATACTGCTTAATAATAACTCGTAATATAAGTAGATAAAGCACTCACACAATTTGATATATAATATAATTTTATTGAGTTATATTTAATATGAGTTCGACTACATATTTTTCTTATCAAACACATGAATTAAGAATCGCAAATTATTTGACAGTACTTTTAACACAACCTATTTGAAACTCACTCAAAAAATTTGCTTACAAATTGAATCCAAAACGTAAAAAAGGCAATAAAAATGCATTTAAAGTTTTAATTTGTTATGGTTTGGTTGATTCAAGATTTTTATTCATGTCTTACCCACATATTTGTTATTTTTATAAAGAAAAAATTTTGTGCTCTGAGGTCCAGTTTCCCATGGAACCTCCCCACTATGTAGTATTATGAACTTCTTTCAACCAGAAAATAAAAATCTTGACTTAATATTTTTCGCATCGAGCCTTTTTCGACATCATTTAAATTACTTTATCAGATACACTTGTAATCAGCTAATTAAGCCAGCCATCTTTTGATAAATTTTGGCTATTTTTCTTTTGTTTATTTAATGTTTATTATTTTTCCATAAAAGTCTAGCTCTTATCTGAATAAAAAGTTGAAAATTTAGCTGAAAATTTGCAGATTTTTCATAATTTTTGCACAAAGTTTGAAATCTGGATTTACATGGTGTTTGTTATTTGTTAAATTTAATTACTCTCTTTCGTTTTGTTACTTATGAAATAATTTTCACTTTAAATAAAAAAGTACGTTCCAAACACATTTACTTATTATTTATTATATGGTAGGAGAGCTTCTTAAACCATATTGATGCAATTTATCCATGTAAAGTTGTTGATAAATAATAAATATCTAAATCCCGGGACTGATCCCAGGATTGAACCAACGACATCCCTAAAATCCCGTTATCGTAAAAATCGAAAAAATTAACATAGCTCGATATTAACATTTTCTCAAGTGAGGAATTTGTTTTTTTTTTT